AAATCAGCAAAGACAAACTAAGTTCAATAAAGGTTATTTTCTAAACAGTACATCAGAATTCAGGTTGTTGTCAGACTAAAATTCCCTTCAAAACAGAACAAATCTCTTAAATTAGTAATGCTACTGGGAGCTTTAACAAATTTAATCCTTATAGCAAGTTAACAAAATAAGATTAATAAAGAACTATCTATCTACAGTTAATTTTTTTTGTCTTCCACAGACACTGTGTATTTCCTTAACTAATCCTAAATGCTAATTCAATGCAATTCTGCAAACACTTAAACATATATAATTCAGATGATTAACTTCATTGATTTCAGTGGGATCATTCATCTTCATAATGCTATTCACAACTATAAGTAAGTGCTTTCTATTTTGGGCCTGAAAAATGTAACATTCTTTACATTTACAATAAAACAGTTGTTATAAAAATTACTTCATCTTTACAGTATATATTAAACAAACTCAGTTGTTAACACCAGTTTTGAAAGCAGTGGATTAGGAGACAATATAAACTTTTTGTGTGTGGGTTGCCATTTTGAATGATACTGATTTCCTTTTAAACACTTTTTACCATGGTTTCCACATATGGGTTGGCATAGCCCAAGAAACTGATGTTCTCCATGTTTTAGTGATCTGTGCTGAAGCTGTTATGTTGCAGCATCCCCATAGGCCACAATGACTACATACCTCACGTCTGCTGCAGCTCCTCGGATTTAAGTGTTACGCTCAAACCCCCGTTCTGTTGTACCAAGAGGCTGAGCCTCACAGAGGCTACTTGGTTAAAGCTGCGTTAGCCACAGACAATGGCAGGGCCGCCTTGTGGTTTTGAAAACATCCAGGTACGGCTTTTTTTGTGATACTCATACCACTACTACCAGTGTGGCTGCTGTACTCCTGGTGACATCTGGCTCACAGCAGCCTCAGAGATTGCTCTGTGATCACTATGATCAGGAGCAGCTGCTCCCAGTTTCTTTCTGAACAGTTTTCTCAGGTGCAAATTCTATTTGGGTTAACATTTGATTCTGAAATATTTTCTGCTGTGCTTATTTGCAGAGCAAGAGCTTGCTTGCTCCCCAGGTTTCAGGTGTGCTTGAACCTTCTTTCAATGCAATCGGTGGGCTGATCCTACAGCAATTTTGCAAATATTGGGCTATATGAGAACCAGTTATGCAGAGACCTTAATGCATAATCACTGCTGCACTTAATTCACAAATCATCTCTACTAGGGGAAAAAAGATCTGGTGCACTAAGTCAGTGATGGTTACAAAAATACAGTTACTCTGCACCAACTGTTAATTCCTGCTTCTCCCACCTGACATAGCTGCTAAATATTGCAGTACGGCATTCTAAGAGATAATACATCCAGCCCTGAAAAAACTGAATGGGAAGAAATTCCCTCATCTCATCTCCCCACCCCATTATTCCATATACTTCACACACTCTTCTTTTTAAAACAAGTTTGCTTAACACTGCACCATATTGACAATTTGCACTTGTGGAAAGCAAGCTTTCAGAAAAAAGCCTGCAGCTTAAAATATTAATCTCTGGTATCTAATCGCAGCATCTTCAGTACAAGAGCATAACTAACTCGTTTAGAAGCCATGGAACATGCCCTGTTACATCATCACCACTTGACAGAGAGGCACTTACTTAAACTCTTGCCTAGCAGAAGGTAGGCCTTGTACTTCTGCAGCAGCCCAACTCCCCCAGCAAGTGTTACACAAGAGTCTAGTTAAGTAGACAGCCACTTAAAACAGATTCTGATCTCTCTGGTGAAGACACAAATCAGCTACAGTTGCACGTGACAAATAATTACTCTGAAGTACACAAGAAATACCTTATCTTGTTACAATCACACTCTTCAGGTCGCTTCTTCTTCAGATGACCTCTCACCTCCCTCAGGTTTTTTATTTTATTTTGCAAAGTTTCAATCTACAAAAAGTAAAGACACAGGTTAAAAAAAATACAGTATGATTTAGCCTTACTCTAACCTCCTCAAACCCATTCTATTGTCACCAAATGTTCCCTCTTCACCACCTTCCATGATTCTCACCACTTACAAGCATTTTCAAATTATCTGCCTTTCCAAAAGGAAACTACCGGAGGAGGAAACCTCGCTGGCACTTTCCCTGCTTTGATTACTGAGTTGTGAGAGCAGAAGGTGGCACTGGGGAATGGGGGACACAGCCTCAGGTAGACACCCACTCCTGGTTCCATTGTAATTTGTCCTCCTGTGCCCTACAGCATATTTACAAGAGGAGAAAGGTTACTCTAAGGAAAATGAAGCCCTTAAATTTCATCCTGTTATGAACCTAAGGAGGGGATGGGGAGGGAGTGCTCTGAAGTCCCTTCAGAACTTCTGAAAAAGAAAAGCAGCAAGGCTCTGTCATTTTGCATGGCAGTCTTTAGCAGGATCTGGCCACATGGGATATGGATTAGCAGTTAATTGTGCCACCTGCATGATTTATTTTTAACTGTCTATTTTTTTCAGTAAATGAAACTCCTGCTTTTGTTCAATCTAGCTCACACACAGTGTGGCCCATTTCCACTCAGATGGGTATTACAGGCTTCTACTTCGGTTCTTTACACAGCAGAAAAAACAAAGTAATCCAATGTGAACAATGAAGTCACTGCAAAGCTACCAGTAGACATCAGTGATCATAAGCCTGGTGGAAGCACAGGGCTGCTGAAGCACAGGCAGGACAGAATGTTCAAGAAAAACACACAAAGAATCCAGCCGTGTGACCCTAAATCAGGAACACAACAGGACAGAAGTGAGCTCTCATTTTCTTCGGCACTCCATAGAGCCTACATTTTCCAAAGAAAAAGGAATTAGAAGAGTTCAGCGATACTGAAACTGCCCTTTCTGAATCCTAGCAGATCTAGTAAGTTTTTCAGTATCTACCAGCCTTGCTACATGTCAATCTGTGCCATCAAAGGGGGGGGGGGGGGCATTCTCACACAGGACTTTCCTGTGAATTCATTAATTTGGTAAGAGATTACAGGAGGTCCTTTCTTTATGCTTCTCTTTGGCATTTGTTCCCCCATTATCTGGTCCTTAGAAAACTGCCTAATTCATATGCAACATGTGTGAAGGGTTTGAGCTTGTATTCTTCAATATTAGTGACAAAAATGTCAGATGAAATTTTACAGGTAATTTCACAGGGCAAATGATCTCCAGGTTTTTCATATATACAAGCCTAAGAAAAACCAATTCAGTTCCAAAGCGCAAGAGTTAAGAAAAATACAAGCAAGCAAAATAAATAATTCTAAAAGCACTGAAACTAACAAAGCTCACTTTTCCTTGGGCTTATGTTTGACAGTTGAAGGCCTCTTTTTGAGGGGTACAGGGGGAACAGGGCTAATAAGATGTGAAAAAGGTCCAGATGAAATTTTTCCCAGGATGGGAACACTTAAAAGTCTCTCATTTATCTCGTAAGGCTTATATTTCTCAGCTGTCCCTTCAGTTGCAGTTCTCTCCTCCATGTAGCATCTTGTCTTCACAAACTTGTAATAACTTCATTATCTCTGAAATATCTATTCTGAAATCAGCGAGCAAGTTCAAAAAGTTCCACAAAGACACTCACAGGCCGACAGACACAAACACGGTCAGCATGATCCTATCAGCCCACAGAAAACCATGCAAAAAACAGAGACTGAAAATGCATCAACTGACCTCATGGTCAATATGAAGTTTATGGTCCTTCCAAGCTTGCAGTGATCTGTACAGATCTGTGTCACACTGGACGGTATCATTCTCCAGGATATAGCACCTTAGCATGGGAAAACAAACGATATTTATTATAGTGGCTACACACACACAGAGCAATGCAAACAGCTGGTTCTAATAACAAGTCCAGAACAGATGAGAAGCCAGATTGGAGATGACAGGCAGAATTCAAAAAAACCAGTGTTCATTCAAGAGAAGAACAGTGTGCTATGAGCCAGGAAAGAAGCTTGGTTTGAGTTGCCATGGAAATTTTTCAGAAGTAGAAAAATTCAAGAAGAATATTCCTATCAAGCAGAACCTGTTGACTACTTAATTTCTATATGTAAATTGTGCTGCACAGAGTTCTTGCTTATTCATTAGGCTGTCCACATAAATAATCTCTACTAACTAGCAAGCAGTGAAAGCATTACTCAGAAGCAATTTCCCAATGCATAATTAAGTGATACAGGGGTAGGGGCAAGGATAAAGTACTTCTTTACAAGATGTATGACTACATCATAAAGAAAAGGAGGGGGAAAAAAAAGAAACAAAGAAAGTTTGCTCTTTTCTACAAAAGGAATAAAGTTTTTCAAAGATATCTCTCTGACTTCAAAGGCAAGACACCCTCTGACAATTTTATGTGCTTATGTTTTGCTAACTTCTAATGCAATCCAAGTTTTAAAATTATTTCAAAAACTAATGCTTGACAGATTTACCTAAGATGCTTATTAGGGGTCAACAAATACCACATAGTCATTTTTGAATGCTTGTTTAAATTAAAGCTGAGTATTTTCAATACTCCTTTTATTTTCTTTAAACCACCTCATCCATGTTGCAGTTCTACCTTTTCTGCAAGTGTTCCTGGGGACTCCTCACAAACTATGCACAACCTTCCTGATGGTTCCTTGCATGGATTTGGGATTCACGCAGTAAGGCAGCATAAATCAATTTGACTTGTTCCAGAAGAAAAGCACAAATAGTGATTTATGGGTCCTGAACATTCATGAGAGCTGGGGTAAGAGGGCACAATTCTCTGATGTCAACCTAGCTATGTTTCCTTGTATTAGCAAGTCTAACCCTGTAAACAGAAGTCAAATGGGAACCACAGATTTCAACAGCAGCTAACTAGCTCATGGATGTTTACATGAGCTAGTCATTAAACAATTTAATACATATAATCAATAATGATTGGCAGATTTCCTGATAATTCACAAGCAGAAAGGGTGACTAAACTAATTAAGTACAGTTGAAGATACATCATCAGCCCCTAGACTTGCACACCGAGGAACAGACTTTTAGCTATTAGAGTGCCCAGACAATTCCCTCACCTCTCTCTCATTATATTCCATTTCCCAAAGCTCCTGGTCCATCCAACTTCATCCAATAATACAGATTTTCCTTTCCTAGCACTGGTTACAGACAGCTCTGAGACGCTGCTTCCTCCCTTAGGACTGACTTGGTGTTTGAAATACAAAGCAACCAATGCCATGAAACTGGGTCATACTCCCGTTAGAGCCTTTGGCCTTCAGACAGGCCAGGTGACCCGCTGCACATCAAGATTTCCAGGGTAGAGCCTTTCCTGTTTCAGATAGGTGTACACACTGTGTTGCAAACAGTTTTGCTTGTCCTCAGTGGAAGCACACATTGACGAGTCATTACTGACTCCAAAGACAGTAGACATAAAAGCACTGCTGTAGTTCCTCAGTACCTTCACGCCTCTCTGTACGTGACAAAATTAAAACAAACCCGAAAGCTGTTGTACAGATGAGAATATGAATTTTAGCAAAGCTAGACTGGGTGTCCAAAAGGGACACAATATGCTTATGACAAGTTAACACACCCATTTATGTAAAGTAGTCACTTCAGCAGCAAAAGCATTTAGAAATACACCACGTGCACTCACCTGTGAGTCACTTTTATTAGGTTAGGTGCTGTGTACTCTGCAATGCCACCGGTGCCACTGAATTCCCCCACGTCTTTATCCTCCTCCTCGCGAAAAACAGCCCTCTGCATCTTGTGTCGCTTGGTGATGTTTCTTGGTAAGACAGGTTGGTAGCCATCCTCTAAACCCAAGTTATAAATGGCTCCATCCAGCTCAACAGACACAGAACGGATAGAGCGATTCCGGACGTAGCTTGGTTTGTATTCTGCATGGAAAAGGAAGTGAAAGGATTAAGAGGGGGAGAAACAGCATGTTACAATTTGGTCCTCTCTGTGGTTCTTGGGAGGGGAAAACCCAGCCCATACTGTGACATTTGGAATTAACTGATGGCAAATGATGTTTGTTGCTGTTGTCCTCAGAGCTGCTTCATTACCTTTTGCATGGATAAACGGATGCCTTAAGGCATGAGAGAGAAGGCAGATACAATGCAAATGCACAGGGATGGCAGAGGGGAAAGAAAACATACTTGTCTGGTATCACTTTGAGCTGACAGCTCAAAGAGAGTCTGCTTTTCCCCCCAATAGTCACTAGATGGCAGTAAGGCCTTAAAAAACTAACCATGACCGTTGACAGCAAGGTCTGAGGTCATCCTTACAGACTGGTCCTCTGCTGTATGCTGTTGTCTGTCGTACAATGCTCCAGTGCTAGGACTCCTGCAACACTTCCCTGAAGTTGTCCCCAGCGTTCAAGCTGAGCCTATTCTCAATTCTATGCTCTTTCTTCAAGATAAGATGCTTGATTTTTTTAGGAGGGATTAATATCTGAATTTTTACCTTTATCCACATCTAATTCTTTTCTTTACAGTTATTTTCCCAATATGCAGACTGGTCAGTGAGTTTCTACACAAAGCCTAACCCTCCAGTGCTATACACTTCCTCAGACTTTGCTTCTGCATTCGTAGCTCAAAGGCAAAATGAAACATTTGCTACGAATTGTCACTACACAGTATGAGATTCCCATTGATCTTTTTGTCATTAGTGCTTTCCAAAGTTCTCCATCCCAGCCCAAATTCCCAGAGCTCCTCTTCTGTTTGGTCTGGAATAGCACAAATATATCCTAGTTATGGAGTCTAAATCCGTATCTAAACTTTTCTACTGTATGATGGAGTATCTCTGACCGTGTTTCCTGCTCACAGTCACTCATTACACTGAGCACGATCATCTCAGTCCTTGAGAAAAAGTACAACCTAAGTACCACAGCCTCTCTTCTCCTCCCTGCCCAGTGCCTGAGTCCGCTATGTATATGAGGCTTGGAGTCATTGAAGACATTACTGGAAACAATTGAGTCTCCTGGCTCCTCCAGTCCCTTCCTTTGCACAGAGCTGAAACATGCAGCACATCTCACAAGAAGGGGACTTCCTTCTGCAATCTGTTAAGGGGAAAACTCAACCAATGTGCCAAATGAGAAGACCCATCTTTCTTGCAATCCCAAGCTCCACAGAAAAGCCAACTTTCTCTATGGGATAATCCCCGCAGAACAGGAAGCAGAGCAACCAAAATTGACAACAGAAATATTCACGTCAATCGGTGTGCTTTGGCATTAACGCAGAGTGATGTTTTTCAAGAAGCCTTATATTAATTCCAAACGGATCGCAAAAGCCTCAAAAGCCATTTTGCAGACTGTGGGAAGAGAAATAACTATCTCCTCCCACCTGAAACTGGTCCAAGCACTATATTCTTGTCAGTACCACACACAGAAAGTGGAATACCAGCTGGATTGTCTGGCTTTGCACATTTTCCACCTGTGGTTCAAAGTTTATTGCTGATATTAAGCCAGGTGAGTCACTGCTGAAGGGAAAAAAACCACTCAAAAGCCCAACCTTATTTCAGGCACCCATTCAGGAAACGTTTCACTAAATGAGAAGGAAACTCCCATCTTTTCAGAAGTAGGAGGAAGTTCCAAAAAGCTACACCCTAACAATTATATTCAAAGTATAAACTCCCACTTCTTTAATTGTTCCCTCATTTCATCTTGTTAAGCTCAGCCAACTAAAAATTTACCTTCCTTCCAAGTCTAATATGCCAATCCAGCACGTTGGACCTCAGCAGATAGTTGCAGGGAACTGTCGTCTACACACGTCCCTGAAGAATTAGAAGCCAGGAGTTACTCCTCCCTTGCAGCCAAACTAACCCAGCCTTACAACGAACAAATTGGTCTGGAGTGAGACAGCTCATAAAGGACTTGTTGTATCACTTTATCACAACGTGGCATCCACAATGCTGACTCAGTGCAGTGATTAGCACCAAACTCCATTATTTTCAGAGGAAGTGGTTAAAATATTTAATAGGATCAATATTCATTTATGCTGTGTTCTCCCACCTGCAAAGTGCACTGCAGGCATAAATACCAATGTCTAATTACTTATTAGTTGATCCTCCCCCAGGTTTAAGTTTTACTCTCTGATTCATTTACCTGTGTATACAACCCACAAAGTAGATCTAGGGCTGTTAAATATTTGGCCCCAAACACCTATACTCCCCTTTTTGGGTTATTAAAGTTTGGCTTTGGTCAGCTCTATGAGCCCTGACACCTCTCTTACAGAAGCCAGCTGTCTTTCAGATGGTACTGCTAAAAAGTTACATCCTCAATTCTTGGGTTACAGAGTCAACTCTTGAGTCTGGAAATGGAGTTTGGAGAAATTTAAGCCTAAGAAAGCTGACTACATTTCAGTGCCCCGCTCATCCAGCTGTATCTTCTTGGACCACTTGACAAGCATGCCTCTCTGTATTGGAGCCTGAAAGGAAGTACGCTATTCCGGTCCAGATTTCCCCAGTTTTGAGACTCAAATACACCTGATTTTTTACAACTATTTTTTTGGTAATATCTCGGGTTTCAACACTGTCTAGTAAAAGCAGGAACTGCATTATCCAAAATTATTAGTCAACTGAATAAAGCAAGGCAATGGTGTATTATAAAACCATAAACTTCATATCTGACATAAACATGCCCAGCCTTTAGGCTTATTCTTAACTGTCCTCACATCTTCATCACTCAAGCCTTGTTACTTATTTTGCAGTTGCCAAATTCATGATTTAACACTGAAATAATTTGGAAATTATAGTTTTCTCAGGGATAACTGAGAAGTCTGTAACCAACTATAACTACTGTATGGCACTTCCCCCAAAGCAGGAGCATGACTGCTCAGGGGAACACTGCAGGACACAGACAACTCTTAGTCTTCCCTGATGACACTTACTCTATGTAGGAATTTTGAATCTGATGTATTTTCCAGTATCACAATGACAAAAGAATAAGCCAGTATGCAAGGATTCTGCTTCTACACGTGCCACGAGGAGAACATTCACCACTAGCCTCATCAATTCCTGCTTGACATTTCCCAGTAATGTCTGTATATTTTCCAGAATTTTGTAGAGAAGCAGAATATTTTTCTGTAACAGCAAAATTAGGCATTTCTTGTCAAATTTGTGAAACTATCTCAAGTGTCTAGAAATAGGGATAAAGGTCTAGAGGTGTTTTTTCTTGGACATTACATACCTAGGGATTTCTACAAATCTTATTTTGAATCTGTGTCCTTAGATATTTCAAAGGGGAAAAAAAAACCCACCCAAAAAACTTTCATACATCAAGTTTCTCACAATTGCTACCAAAAATTAGACTTCAAATGAATTATTTTTGAAGTAAGTGATGTTCAGGCTTGAGTTTGTTGTGTTTTTTTTTTTTTTTTTAAATAACAAAGAAGGTCATTTTGCTCCAGCATTGAGACTACCTCAGAAGAAAAATGAGTGACGTGAAAATTGGAATAAAAATGCACTAGCTCCTTTGTAGACACTTCCGTTTGTTGTTTACAAATCTGTGTAGCCTATCATCATTTCTCTACGTGCAGCTTAATAACTCCTTTAATCACATGCACTTGTTCATCACAGGAGGAGGAGATCAGATCTACAGCAAGAAAAACATAATAGACCACAACACAGCCAAAGATTTTAAGAGCTCGCTATTACTTTAAACTTTCTTCCTACTGCAAAGCTTTGCTTCATCTTTCTTATAAAAATAAAAACATACCAAAGAAAATGAAGAGGACACAGAAATGCAAACTTTCCTGACACCAACACCCAGATATACCAAATATTAACGCTTGTGTGTTTCTAGCATGTAAGTGCTTTGCAGGCAAGTTCTGTATTTGTACGTGGCCCAAATGGCATGTCCATGACACGACCCTGTTTAGAAAATATTGTTGCCTGCTAAATGCACCAGTGCACCTGACAATGCATCTAGACCATGCCTACATTAGAAAGTAATTATTTTATGAAAACATTTGGCGCCTCAATTCCTCTATCAGCAATTTAGTCTGGTCTTTTAAACCACATGTACTCACTAGACACGACTGGTTTTAATCTTTCTGAAAGAGCAATCCTCATACCCCTATCAGGGTTTGCAACAAGATGCACCCTAGAAGCAGGGCATCCAATTCAGTTTTCTGCAAATGACTGTAGATTAGAATCCATCAAAATTATTCTGCAAATCCATCTCTATTGTGCATGACAGAAGGGAGTGATCAGGGTGTTTCCTTCAAAACTACACTATTGCCGTGAACTAAAGCATTAATGTGGACGTGACCTTAGTCCAGTTTGAAATGTCTATTTTCTGTTTAGCTATTGTTCAATCTGATGGATAGCATTTACTGGCACTCAAATAGGGCTGCAGTATGATCCCATGTACTCATCAGATTCTGAGTAGCAGACCCCAAAGATGCCCTCAGAATGATGCAGCCCAGAACAGACTGCACTTTATCCCAAGTCTCACAGAACAGGTCACAAAATTCCAAACACACATCCATCAGTATTCAGGTCACCCTCTTATCATCCATAATCCAGTGAGGCAGCTTTCTAGGTAAGCTGTTTAGAAAAAGCTTGCAACGTTACCTTGACGTGTATTGCTTTGTGCTCATTTGCATGCAGTGTGTGATTTGTTAGATGCGTGCATGTAAAAGAATAGCCAACACCAAACCAAAAGGTCTATGTCAATAGGTCCAAGCTAACCTTTCCACTGCACAGCACACCTTGCATGTGGGCAGAGGGAAAAACAAAGCATCTGCCAAGTCAATTATTTTACTCAAGACACAAGCAATGGGACGATTGTCAAGATCCTGTCTTACACTGCTCCAGTTTACGCCTTACGGTTCAATGAGGCAAGTGAGCTGAAGGGTATTGAATAAACTGCCTCTTCTGAGCAGAACATCGGGGAAAAAAACACCATTCTGATCCCTGTGCTAGAGGGAGCAACCTTCACTTTTTTTACCTCAACCTCCTTCATACATAAACTAAAGGTAATTATACACTTAACCACTTTCTCTGGATGTTGTGAAAATTAGTTAATATTTAGGAAGCACTACACAGATGAAAGTACTTAAGTAAGTGTTAAGTATTATCAGATAGTGTTATGTTGCCATCACTTAAATTGTTTTCCTCTTCTTATTTAAGTGCCTTCAATCTACTCCTGTTATTTGACTCCCCATGACTGAACTTTCTTCTGACAAAAAAAAAAAAAAAAAAAAAAAAAGAGTTAATTGTACTGCAAGTTCTAGTCTTATTTAAAGATTATCTGCTGTGCCACATATTTAAACAGCAAATATAGTTGAGTAATTTCATCCTGGAACCAATAATTTTTTTTCAACTAAAAATTAGCTTAGTAGGTACTAATCAGCTTGCAAGGCAAATATAATGGGAGAAAATCAATTTAAACTCTCTGTTTGAAGCTTGTGCCAGGTCATTATACAGAAAGACTAATCTGCTAAATAATTAAGGCTCTGTATTTGTGGGGTGAGACGAAAGAAACATTACAAGTGAATAATAATTCTGTGCTGTCATTTGCCTCTCTAATCTATAATTAGACTACGTACTTCAAATATAGATGTTAGTCTGACTAAGGTTTAATACCAAGCCAGTGGAATGGGCTTTCTGAAAAAGCACCTGATCTGTGCCAAGGAAACTAGAAACAGTCATCCCCTTTGTATGTAATCTCTGGTTAAAAGTCAGCCTTGTGTCTGCTGACTGAGCACAAGAAAGGGATGTTAGCAGCAAGCAGCTTCTGTAACAAAGCACATGCATCCTTATTAAAAATATATTACTGCAGTAACGGTTCCAAGCACTGCAGTACCTACTGAAAATCAGAGTATTTGCTATAAAAGACTGTGCATGTTTCATGGCCTAAGTAAGGATGTGCTAGTTGCCACTTCAGTGTGTGTACTGCGTTTCCCAGTTTTGAAAGGCATAAATATAGGACCCTATTTTGGATCAAAACACTCCTCTTCCTACAGACAGCGATATTTGCAAATCTGATTGTCAATACAAGGCACACTGTTTCATAGTTACATACACTATAAATATGCTGATAGAATTCAATGTCCATGATAGTCAGGACAATTACGTGTGTTACTGAACAAATTCATAACATTTTTCTAAGGCAGAGGCAGAAGATACAGTGGATTCACTTACTTTTCTTGGAGAAGAGTTTCTTTCTCCGTCCGACATGGCTCAGCTTGTATTCGTTCTCCTCACAATTGCAGTCTTCACTATTCCTGTTGTAATACTTGGGCAAAATATTGGAGGTGCCTTTGCTGTTGCCTGCAGCTGCCAAGTTCGCCATTCCCTTGCACTTGTGTAGCTTGAGCTTTCCACTGGCATCTTCCACACACTGCCATTTCTGGAAGAAAAATTTGGTCATTAAATCTCTATCCCAACTGTGCTTTGTCTAATGGCCAGCTCCAGCGATCTACCAGAGATTCCTCATAGTAAACTGGGGCTCATGTATCACCCACTACCAAACCACAGTTTTTTGTAATCTTCCATTTTCAGACAAAACAGGAACTCTTTGGAACACTTGCATTTGTTTCTTGGAGGCAGAACAATGGAAATTTCTTAACAAAATCAATAGTACAGCTAAAAACATGGAGGTGACAAGCGACAACTTTCAGAAGCATGACTATGGCATAAACCAAGGATGTTCAAGTCTTATCCACAGGTTTGAAAAGAATCCTTCCCTACCAGCAAGTGTATGTGTCAGGCTGGCAGGAATCTATGCCACTATTACGCCATTAATCAGCACCAAGCTCCACGCCTGCATGTAATCTCAGTCTCATGCCATACTCTACAAGAAGGGAAAAAACTTTTCAGAGGAGTCTCCTCCTCTCTCCTAACTCAAATGTCTGACAGTGGGATGATTTTATCCAAGTTGTGGATTCCTTTACTGTAAAGATCTGGTCTGAACTGGTTCTGCAGTCAAAGAAGAACAGTCACTTCCAGGGTACAATTCACTTCATCCTAAGGTAGCTATATAAAAAAGAACAGAAAAAGGATTGCCCTGCAAAAGTGCCTGTGTCTCTTCACTGACCTTTAAAGGGGTGGGTATGACTGGATCAGCTATAGAAGTCTATAGTTAGATGAGTTTATCTCTATCTTGAGTGTTTCTAATAGCTTTTCCCATTCAACACCCTTGGGCTTAACTAGCAATGGTGAGCTGCACTGGATGCTTGTGAAGTGAAAACCCCCTCCCTCTTCCACTCAAACAAACAAAAAAAATCTCATCTCTAATCTTCAATTCTTCCTGTTACTCAAAACCTGAAGTAACTTGCTTATATCTCCCTTTGTGCTGCCGTCAGAGCTGTGCCAAGGGCAAGGGAGTTTAGCTACCTTCAATCTGGCACAGAAGTTTCACCCACTTCCCAGATACCTCACAAAATCATTTCACCTCCTCCTTTATTTACCAATACACTACTAGCTACAGAGCTAGGCTTCGAGATACATAAAAAAACCTCACAGTAGCAGTTGCTACTGCTTTAAATAACATCTCCTGGAAACACTTCAGTTTTTTGCTGAGTCTTGAGAGGCGTTCCTCTTTTTCCCTATTACAAAATCCTAAGTCTGTGCCTCCAGGACTCACTGGAATATTGAGAGTTTTCCAAATAAAAGAACAGAAGGAAAAACAGCAACAGCTCCCAAGCGAGATGCTATTTTACAGCAGCCTGCAGCTCTACAAGGGAGGTTCAGTCACTTCAGTACCCACAGAGAGGTGCACCCCGGCTAGGGCAACAAAGTCTACATTTTCCATTGAAATTCACTCCGTTGTTTGTGTGACAGCAAAGAAAGAAAACAATATCACTGTGCTTTTATAATACAGAATTTAACAGGAGTCAGAAGTGAACTGGCCAGTTAAGTGGATTTATCTATGTCCATGAGTTTCATGGTGTGTCCACTTATTTCCTCAGACAACAGGATTCCAAGTCTCCTGAGCTACAATTACTTCTTGGGTGCAGATATTGTGCCCAACCTCCTGTACAATCCAAGCCTTGCGCTGATGCAGATAAACCTGCACAAGGAATTGTAGGAAATCAGTGAGAGATACTGACAATAAGACATTTGAATCAGACATTTTTGCATGACACTCTTCATCTGTAAAGCAGGACACATCTACCTAGACGAGATGTAGAACAAAAATAACCTTTGAAGAACAAATTGCTGTCTTAATTTTATTATTATTTTTTATAAATGCCTAACATTGATTGACGCAGACTGAGGTTTGAAGTAAAAGTTAGTTTACTAGAATAAGCAATAGTTTCTTTCACAACAAAAAAAAAGATGTAAATATGTTTGTTGCTGTTTCCCATTTCAATTCGTCTGAATCTTATTTTTGAAAATACATGAACAAACTGCATTTTCTGCTCAGCAGAGCTCTATGCTGTAGGTGTCTGATACATGAAAAATGAAGATTCAACAGAGGGCAAGTTAAATGCCATGATGAGAACTACTGCAAATACGCCCTCTGATGTGTGGCCCAAAAATATTTTTTCTCTATTTCTTTCATCTCCTGTCAAGAAAGTGATGCTCATTTTCCCCCTCCAGGTGAACTGGAAAAAAATCCTTGAATTTTTGGTGCAGTTTAAATCTTTCCAAGGCAGCTTGTATGCTACAATGAAAACATCTTAAAGGCTTTGCTGGAAGGCCACACTGTATGCATTAACAGGCCCACTGCTGAATGGGCAACCCTTTTAGTTGCTTCCAGGGTTTGACACAGGTTTCTGCATGATGGTATGCTGTGCACTAGAAACCAGTTTAAAATGCTAGAATTCACAATGTTTAAAGCTTCTTGACTGTCAAGCAGAGTCAGTTCCCTTGCAATTACTGCACTTTTTCCCTAAGTTTGAGAACATCCTGTGGAAATGACTGCGACTGATACTGACCTAGAGAATTTGTGTTTCTACTTACAAGCAGATCAAGGGTAAGTTGTTGAATCCCAGGCACATTCACACACATGCCTATATCTATTTTGGGAAAAAACTAAAAGCTTGAAACTCTTTTTTGCCCCCACATGTGTTCAGTGTTTGCTTCTAAATCTGCACTGCAGATTTAGAAATGTATAATGAAATAATACATTCATTATTTCATGAATTTTGCTGTGTCAAACCCTGGAAGCAACTAAAATATTTTATAAGAGGCAATCACTTAAATAATTATATCTCTATATGAAGAACTCCAGAGTGCCCCAGAGATACTTTGGCTCACAGATACAAATGATAACCATCCAGCAACAAAACATAATTACATATAAATAGTGGATTATCTCAAACAGTCAAGAAAACAAAGTGCCTTTAGTTCATCACTTGCCCCAAACTTTTCAGATCTTTTCTTCATTAGACCAGAAGATATGTTTCTAATTCAAGGTCTATAGCTTGTAATATCTCACAAGAGCTAATTCCTGAAAGGGAGGGCAGTTTAACACAAACTAAAAGTCAGTGGAAAACCCAAACTCCCCCATAATCTTCATCCCAGCTCATATCAAAACTCCCAAGAAAGAACCTGTCTTTCCTCCTGCAAAGCCTTGCAGAACAGTAACTCAAGCCATCAAATAAATGGCTTTTGCAATATATCCTGAAGTCCATCAAGCTCACATTGAGCAAAACTTTCCAGACACCTATTTGTTAAAGCTGTTGCAGCTGGAGATTTCCCACCATCTTCAGGCAGGCCAAGTTCGCTGCTGTGCTTGTGCTTTCTGCCACCTACTGTGCTGGGCTTGTTCTAACACTTCTGCTCCATCCTCAGCCCTACCTCCCACTGCACAACACACACTACTCAGTTATTCATGTGCAAAGCTGAAGAGTCTGGGCTTTAGTTTAATGTAGAAATTAGTGCTACCAAACTGAAATCCTGTTCAAAGGTACACTGCAAAGGTAAAGAGAAGACAGTTTGTAACATATATTCTCCCCTCCAGCCCAGACTACCTGCTATATGTATCAACAAGAGTAAATTTAGGACTTCAGTCTCTATGAAACATGAATCTTAGCAGCATCAGCTGTAAATTGAACAGATGCCCTGTTTCCCTCCAGTAACACTATTCACCTTGAACATGCAAATGACACCTTAGCAGAAAAAGAAATGTTGTATTTTTCTGTGTGTCAAACCCCCATTATTTCCTTCACAGCCCCCATCACCATCAAGTGATTTTTGCATTATTGTGCATCACTGTCTTTTTACCGCTATAGCAATCACAGATGTTAATTCAAAGTCATCACTTGCGGCCCCAATCAGAAATAAACAGCCATGACCTTCCCTGTAGGATTTTTTCCTACAATTCACTCATTTCCTTCAGTGAATCTCTCTCAATTGACATTGTTTTCTTTGGAGGAAAGGGCTGATCACACAAGCCTGGCTAAGAAAAGATTCCAGTTGAAACATACAGCTTTCAGAGTTGAGCCCTAAATCATCATGCTGTGTCTCATCAGCTCCTCTTTTTGTTAAGCGAAAGAGATTCCATTCCCTTTTACAGAGAAGTGAAAAGTGAAACTGTCTGATCGGTTAGCTGCCAGCAAGGCTCCCTCCCTAACAGTTTTAGGAATATAGGCCCTAGGAATCAAAGTTTCTGCAGGATAATGAAGTCCTCTGTCCCTGCCAGCAACCTGACAAAACCACTTTGGCAATATCCATCTTCTTTAGTTTATACAGATGCTTTCTGAACACCATGCTTGCTGCCACATTGGATGGTGAGCTACAAACTGCTTTAACAGCTAGAAATATTCTAACTTCCAGCCTAAATTGTGTCCAGTCAGGACACACTTTTTCTTGTATGAAACAATACAGTTACAGTTTAGTTAGTATGAAACAGGTGAAGTTACAGTTTAGTTAGCTCTTCTCCCGCAGTTTGCTCCTTGTGTTATTTTTTATTGGGCTAATGAGGACAAACCAGCAAAATCCAGAGACGCAAGCCCCTCTCTACAAGAGGTATTTCTACTGCCTTTGCTGGTGGCTTGTCCTACTGCTCCGGTGTTACAGATTTCAGGAAACAGTCAACTTGAATTTCCCATTGTTTCATACACACCACTACTTCTCTGTTCTTGCTGACTGAAAATAATTGGTTCATGTCCTCTGTATAGCATCTCTTAGATTCATGCAGACAGATTCCTCTCTCCTCAGTTATTTTTTTGACTGAATACACCTAGTTCCTTAGCTCTTCCCCACAGGCATTATTTTCTTAATCTTTTAACATTTTTGTTGGTTTGGTTGGGTTTTTTGTTTCTTTGGTTGGTTGTTTGTGTGTGTGTGTGTCTGGACATTCTTCCAATTTATCCATTGGCAAAGGACGAGTCCAGTTTCCTCTGTTTCATGTCATCAGTATATAAATATCACTGCCTGGTCTTCATTCCAACTGGACGT